GTACCTGCCATCCAGACGCTGCCTTACGGCCTCCGAGGAAACACTGAGCCTCAGCACTCAGGCTGGGACCTGATCCCGGGCCGCGGTGAGCAGCAGACACCCGGCCCTGGCTGGGTCAGCAGCATCCCTGCCTTGTGAACGGGAAAGCCAGGCTGTCAGGACTGCAGCTTCTGTCACTGCCTTTCCCCAGTCAGCACCATCCCACCGTGAGAGCATACTGTGGAGTGCAAGAAATCAGACACACGAGCTTAAAGAGTGCAGGTTTCTCCTCTACTCTCTGAGAAAAACAAAGTGTAAATGCATTAAGGAGTAAAAGAAGAGATAAACAGGAAGCAGGGAGGCAGAGCTCTTGTAAAGGGAAGGAGAGTAATGGGTGGAGGAAGGGGTGAGGGAGGGGGACAAAGACAACTGAGATGTGTTATGTGCACGGACCAACTTCGCACAGGGAACGTGGCTGTCATATACAGCACACACACTGATGAATATCCTAGTCTCCCTAACGTCCCCCTCCTGTCTCCAAGCCCAGGATGACCCACGAATTGTGATATGAGAACTGAGCGAAGCTTGTTGCCTGCCTCTCCACCCCCAGAGGAGCCTCACCTCGCCGGCATCCTGTGGTTGGGGAGTCTCTTGCATGGTGCTGCCTCCTGCTCTGAGTAACTCTCTCTGCAGTAGCTTCCTAGACATGCAGCACACGGTGTCAACATTCAAGAGAACATCCATGGGCTGGGGTGCGGTGTCTGGGCCACGTGTGCCAGTGTGTTTACGGCAGCAGGAGAATGGAACAGACAGGCCACTTTCTCCTGGTTCAGTAGGAGCCAGGACTCCTCAGCAGGATCTGTGGAACAGGCCAGGGCTGATACCTGTTTCACTGTCTAAAAGCTCCTCTTGGATGCTATAGAATTATTTTCAAGCTGATTTATGCTGATTCAGTTACTTGTTCAGTTATTCTCTAATTTCGGGTGTTTTCCCTTCACCCTTCATCCATAGCCCCTCTTCTGAAAGTGTCTTCTCCTCCCTTAATCACTGCCTTTTTATTTCTCCTGTGCCAGTTGCCTACCTGGCACAGACGAGGTGCTGTTCTTGTGTATTTATTCAGCAAATATATATTTAGTAGCACTAAGCAGTAGTGCTACTACTACTCATTCAGTCATTCTGAAGGTCTAGTGTATGTGTCTTGTGCATGGTGCTTGCAGGAACCGACTGCCTTCCCCTGTGCTCTGGCCCTTAAAACTTCCCCTGTGGCAACACTGCCTCCTGGGGACCAAAGGTGAGGGCGTGGGATGTGGGAGACAATCCAAATCCAAACTACAACATCCGTGTGTTTAGTTTCATTGGCACCTGCCTGCCTGCCTTCCAATGACTGTGCGATCTCTGGCATTTCAAACCGATGAGGGTTTTTGTGTCTTTGCATCTTCCCCAGCGTTCGATGCTGTTGGAGTTCTAGGTTTTGGCCATCCTGACGGGTGGGCAGTGATCTCTCATTGCTGTTCTAGTCTGCATTTCTGCGAGCCACAGGCTGTGCCGTGCCTTCTCCCACCCTTCCTTGCTATCTTTCCAAGTCCCACTGTAGGACGTCTGCTTACGTCTTTGTCTCGATTTTTAGCCAAGTTATTTGTAATGTTACTGCTGAGTTAAAAGTGTTCATCTCAGACTTTTGGCAACATTTCTTTGTCCCAGATGTCTTCTGAAAATTTCTCTTCCCAGGGAGTGGCTTGTCTTTTCATGTCTTGACAGCATCTTTTACATAGCAAAGGATTTTAAGGTTCTCGAAGTTCACTTTATCCATTCTCTTTCCTGGGTCAAGCCTTTAATGCTGTATTGAAAAAGTCATCACTAAACCTAAAGTCAGCTGGATTGCTATCAATGTTACTTTTCAGGGATTTCATAGCTCTGAATTTTACAGTGAGTCATCTGATTCATAATTATAGTTAAGCATAAAAGTGCTATGTCTAATGCTTGTGGATATTTATTTTCTGTAGCATTATCTTTTTTCCATTGTTCGCTTTAATCCTTTTCAAAGATCAGTTTACTTCTCTATGTGCACTTACATGTGTCTGTTTGTATTCTAGTCACTATATTCGCCCAGCACCTCACTTTTTGATTATTAGAGCTTTATAATAGGCCCTGGAGATGAGGACTGTGAGTCTCCAGCTACGTTCCTCCTCAGTATTGTGGGGTCCTTCTAAGTCGTTCATCTCTCCCTGTACATGTCAGTATCGGTTTGTTGATATCAACAGATCAACTTGTTGGGGTTTTGTTTGAGATTTCATTGCCTCTGTAGATGAATTTAGGAAGAGTCAACATCTTGACAATGTTGTCTTCCTATCCATAAATGTGGAATGGGACATCTCCTCATTTATGTAGTTTTTCTTTGATTTGTTTTATCAAAATTTTTTTGTGTTTCTTACATATTTTGTTCCTATTTTGTTATATTTATAGCCAACAGATAGCAAATATCATTACCTAGCTATGTCATTTTTAATGTTGCTAGTTTGAATGGTATTGTTATTAAATTTCAATTTCCACTGATTGCAAGTATATCGGGATAGTTTTTGATTCTTGTGTATTAAATTAGTATCCTGCAACGCTACTTTTATCACTTACTGGTTCTAGGAAATTTTTGATTTTTCCTTTCAGGCTTTCTCCATAGTTGATACGTGATCTCTGAAGGAAAGCAGGGTTATTTCTCTTTTACCAAACTCTTATTTACTCTTCATGTTAATGGTTTAAGTAAAGCTTCCAGTGCAGTGCTGACAGGTGCAGTGAGAGGGTATGTCTTCTGCTGGTTTCTCATCTTGTGGGCAAGTGTATAATTTTCACTGTTAACCAGGAAGTTGCTGTGGGATTTTTGTAGACTTTACATATTAAGTTGAGGAAGTTCCTCCCTATTCCTAGTTTACTGGGTGCTGCATTTTGCCAGTGGTTGTCCTGTGTCTATTGGTATGGTCACATGACTTTTCTTCAGTCTGTAGATGTTAAATGATTTTTAAACTCTTGAACCAGTTTGCACACCTGACTTATATACTCCTTGTTCATAGAGCAGTTTTTTTGAAAACTTTTTGGATTCAATTTGCTAATATTTTGCTGAGAACTTAAATGTCTAATTTTATGAGATGTTGGTCTGTAGTGTTCTTTTCTTCTTTTGTCTTGTAACGTTTATATGGCTTTTTTATCATGGTGCTGGTAGCTTCGTAAAATGAATTAGGATATTCTTCCATTATTTTTACTTTTGGAAGCAATGAAAGAGAATTAGTATGATTTCTTCTTTAAACACCTTTATAATTTACCACTGAAATCTTTTGAGACTTGTTCCATTTTGAAATTTTAAATGTTAATTTACTTTATGTAATGACATAAGCCTATGCAGATTGGCCTTTTCTTATCATGAATTTTGATAAATTGGATCTTCAAAGATTATCATATCATGTAGTTTGTCAAATAGTTGGGCACAAAATTTCTCATAATATTCCATTATTTTAATGTCCATGTTTTCTGTAGTGATGTCCTTGTTGGGGGGGAAAGGGACAGAGAGAGAGAGAGAGAGGGGAAAAGGGGAAGAGAGAGAGAGAGAGAGAGAGAGAGAGAGAGAGAGAGAGAGAGAGAGAATGGTGGAAGAATGGTCACTCTCATGCAACACAAGAAGGACCTGAGAATCCATTGCCAACTGTGAAAGAGCCCAGGCACGGAGGATACGATGGCCTCTGGAGCTGGACAAACCTAGGACTGGATCCTCCTCGGAGGCTCCAGAAAGGCTGCGGTCCTGCGGGCTTCTGGGTTTGAGCCCAGTGAGCCCAGAGTAGAACCACGAAGCAGAGAACACTAAAAGAAAATTGCACTGCTTCCCATGGTTATGTTTGTGGGAATTTGTTACAAGCACAAGAGAAAATGAACGAGACCAAGATGAAAACGGCAATTTATAGGACGTGTTATTTGTGAACTTAGACGGTAAATGTTGAAAAAATACAGTGAGTGTAGCAGGAAGCTGTATTAAAAATATTGAAGAAACATCACAAGCAAGCTGGGCTCATTCAAAACAACTACATGTGATTAAACAAGAGAATGTTGTTAAATACTACTTCCAACAGCAAAAGATTGAATGAAACCTTGCTAATAGCAATACAAGCATGCATCAAAGTTTTGAAAAAACCAACTGTACTTAAACTTTAAAGAAAGCCCTTAAAGGTAAATATAAATGGAAATTTCCTATGGCAATGAGAAAGTGTATTCAAAATC